AACGCCGTGCTGGCCTCCAGCGCGGCGGGGCCGGCGGGGCCTGGCTGCTCCGTCCCCCCGGCGACAGGGAGCCTCGCCCCCCGCTAAGGACAGGCCCGGCCGGCCGTGCCCGAGCGGTGTTTCAGCAGCCCCGTGCCGAAGGTTGCACCCACCGCCGTCCTGTGCTTTTGGTGTAGGCTCGGTTCTCCCTCTGCGTACAAACCTTTGCTGAGGTGGATCAGAAAATAACGCAGGCAATTTTAAAAAGACCCTCAGGGCGCGCTTAATGATAACATACCGTGGTAAGGGGTATAACCTCCTGGGCCCGTGAATGGGAGAACCTGACTCTCAAAAGTGTGCAGCATGCCAAAAAGTTGAAAAACAGCTGTGAAACACGAACCCTGAGGCGGCGGTGTTCAAGGCTGTTAAGTGCACGTGGAGAACATTTTCTATAGAGATTGGGCAGCAAGGGATTCCTGGCCCTAGTTCTTATTTCCATCTTGTGCTTTACATCCTCAGCTGCCAGGCCCTGACAGGCGAAAGCCTTTCTTTGTGACATAGTATAACACAGAAAAACAGTAAAGGAAGAGAACGTAGGTAGGAAAAATGCGCAGCCTTACATAAAAATAACATCATATTCCTCAGCCGCTGTTAGATGGCTAACTTGTCTGTGATAGAAGGGGAAAGAGAAGAATGGGAAAGACTTGAAAGAAATATGGCAAGTGGAAGAGCTCAGCCCAGGCACTTCTGAATTTTACCAAGTTTCATGGAAAAATGCATGACAGTAGGGGTAAAAGCAGTCATAAAAAATGAGGGCCTTGAAACAGCGGGCCTGGCACAAGAGAGAAATCCATTGCTCGTGTTGGTGGGGGTCATCACTGTAGGAAAGCAATGTTTGTGGTAGAACTGATCTTCTCAAAGTAGCTAATAGCTCTTCACCATAATAGGACTTTTAGTAGTAGAACATTGAAATGCCCTGTTATCTCCTCTCATGATTGTCTGCCTGTCTTGCTGCTGCTGTGTGAGTAGTTGGAGTGTGCGTTGAATCTTGATTAAAGGAAAAAGAAGTTGAAAACCTTGAGATGGCAGGAAATAAACTCATACAGTCAAGAAGAGATATTTGTAAATGGGAAATGGCTTGCTGAAAGCTCTGTGGAGCATTATTATGTGTTATATTGCATCCTTAAAATGTGTTATTTGCATCTAACTGTTCTTTCATAGTCTCTTGGGTTTCTTCCTGGCCTTCTAGTAAGCTATAGGAATGCACCTATGAATGGTGCCTTTGTGCTCTTGTAGCTCTGCCCTTCTGCACGTGTGACCGAAAATAACGGATATCATTCCACAATTGGATATATTTTCAGATACTGTATGTTGCCTTCACGTAAGTGGAATGCAGTAGGCACCAGAATTGTTGCTTACATCCTCCTATTTATTATGAGAAATTCCTGTTGTTGAAGTTCTCGGGCAGCCATGAAGTGCTGGCACTATCAGACCGTGTGGATATTTCAGAGATCCTGTTTTTTATAGCTGTGTTGTCCTTCTAGTGTGTTTCCATGTCAGTGTTAATTACTACATACCATTTAAAAAAAACACGTGGAAAATAAAAGCAAGTGGCCTTCCTCTTTCCTCCTGATGGATCCGTGAAGTACAGGTGAGAGATTTCATGCAGCTTCTTCCAGTGAGTAAGAGAGAGGCCATTAGGTCACCGTCCTTCTTTGGTGATGTGATCTTATACTCTGAATAGCAGCTTCTGCAGCGTCTCAAGATAAAACAGGAATATGTGCAGTACTTAAAGTTCATCATTTCCTTTTGTACTGCATTATTTGTTTGAAATTAAGAAGGTTAAGTGTTCTATAACAATTGCCATTTACAAGACAGGAGAAAAATAGTTTGAATAGTGGTGCCTAGAATGAGATAGTTAAGCAAAGCGATGAATCATGATAACAGATTTTTAGCACACCCGCCTGTCTGTTCCAGATGGGAATGCAGGAGCCGTATGCTTTGAGTGCTTTATTCACAAAGATCATCTATCTACCTGTAACAAAGCTTTCAAACACTTTGGAGGAAGAGGACTGCAATATTGCCAGTGTAGCACTATCACTCGAGAGCTCAGGAGAAGAGAAGATACTGCTTGTCATCCGCCTTTCTATTACTAAGAACAGTAGAAACTTTTCCCTATTTGGTACGTGGTTAATGCTAGCTGGTGGCATTTCTCTTTTCATCCGCAAATCTGAACTTGTGCTAGCATAATGGATGAAAATCTGAGTGTAACAGAGGTAAGATACGGGCCCGATCTCCAAATCCATGGGATTTTCTTAGGACCTCTGTACTAAGGTTATTTTCAATTTTTTCTCAAAAGGCTATAAACTTCAAAACCTGATTCTGAGTGTTTAAATGTTGTTCAGTTGCTGCTCTTCCTTTTTTCAGTGGCAGCATGGAGCCTGCATTTCACAGAGGAGATCTCCTGTTCCTAACCAACCGAATTGAAGATCCAATCAGAGTGGGAGAAATCGTGGTCTTTAGGATAGAAGGAAGGGAAATTCCTATAGTTCATCGAGTCCTGAAGATTCATGAGAAGTACGTCTAGAATATGGGGGTGGTATTGCATATGTCTAAATTGTGGTTTTGCTCCTCTCCTTGGGGTAAATGAATGGGTGGGACTTCAGTGACAAAAACCCGGGTGCTGTAGGAAGCGATATAGAAGTTTCAGCCAGATGAAATCTTCCTCTTTTGTTTAGTTATAAAGATCATCTAGCAGGATTCAGGAGCTGGGGAGTCAGCCCCAGTATCCTGATCCCCCAATGTCACCTAATGTTGTCTGTGCCATCATTTCCATCCCAAACTGCTAAGTAATGTTGCTGTGGTGTCTCCCCCAAACAAGACTACATTGGGGTGTGTGAAGTGAATCGTGTCTGTAGCACTAGAACCTTACAGGAAGAAGGTTATTGCGTATACAGCATGCATTATTTTAAAGCTTCTTTTTATGGTCCTTGTTCTTGCTGTCATACAGAGGACAGGGTGTCTCTGTATGAAGTTTTCTCCCCTGCAGGAAGGTTTGAGTTATTGTATTCAGAGTCTCTAGATGTGCTGCACTATATGTTCATTCTCAAAATGTTTAACTGGATGTGTTTCTGAAACTTTGGTCTGCAGGAATGAAATGTGGTCATTCTGGCATGACTGCTGAACAGGGTTTAGCTTTCCAAGTGAGGCTTTCTCCGCAAGCCTTCCTGCTTTCCTAGGAAGATGCAACTGTGACTGCACAAGGCCAGTATGTGGGGATACAGGCCAGCCCTGTGAGGGATTTAAGTGAAAACTAAATCTTGAACTGAATCCATATTTCCTGAAGTCAGCTCTTGAGAAGATGACAGCAGTTGGATGGGGTCCTAGCATCTGTTCCTGTTTTTTCCTGCTGAGTAAATGACCTCTCCATTATGAATGAACTGGAGCTATACCAGGACTGAGAGATCAATTCCTAGATTTAGTGACTCACTTGCATCATATGTACAGGTGGCATTTGAGGATTGCTGTAGCCAAATCAGGTTGATAGGATAGAGAGGATCCCTTCCCCCAAGTGTTTGTAGCAGCCACAGCTGTTGAGACATCTAGACCTTTTGCCTGGCCCAACTTCAAGGTCAGCCAGTTTCATGCACGTAAATAGTCCATCTTAAATCCCAGATGTGAGTGACGTATCTTCCAGTAGACAGCCAGATTCTTTGCTGCTCAGATTATTCTATACCAAATTTTTTAACAACCGTTTAGTCAATTTTCAAGGCAAAGCTATTTCTCTTTGATACTGTTAATTTAAAAATAAGGTCAGCATGCATGGTGAATGTGATATCAGATGGTGCACGTGCACTTTTTGAGATGTCTTGGGAACTGATATAAGTGAATATTACTTTCCTTCTGCTTTATTGCATGCTAATGGCTCAGGTGGCCCCCTCTACTGCTGCTCAGAGCGATTATTGAAGAAGGAAGAAAAGACAGGGTCCTCTCCCTCTGCCTTCAGCCAGTGCAGGGGAAGGAGAGAAGCAGAAGAGTGCACTCTCTGCTGCAGTTTATTTCCAGACGTTCCCCACCCTTCTTTTTTGCTTGGCTCTACCTCAACACTAGGTCTTAAAAAAAAATTAGTTCATTTCTGCAAAGCATAGCAGGAACGTAGTACCAAGCCGAGAATCTGCAAAGTTGGTCCGCTCCCCAATATTTCAGATATCATTAAAAAAAACAAAAGAACTCATCTGTATGATAGTAAAGATAAAGCTGGAAAATTAATGCTGTGAACTGAAGCTGGGTGCTGAAGGCAGGAATGTGAGAGATCAGTCACTCCTTTCACTAGTTAAGGAATATTTATCTGGTGACAATCTGGAATTGAAGAGTGTTGTCTGAATGGCCAGTTGTGCTTTGCAATTTCTTCCTGTAGTTGTGGACTGAAATGAAAACTGTCTGTGAAAAGTCTCTGTGAAAGTTGATGGGAGTGTGAAAATGAAGGAAAGCTGAATGCCGTTTTGTGTGATCATGTGGTAACTGACTCCAACTCACATCAGCATTGTTTCACTGAGAAAATGTTTTCTACCTGCTGGTAGAGTTTCTTCTTTGTTCAGAGCCAAATTGGGTTCATTTTTCGTCACTAAACGTGGAGTCTGCAGTCAAAATTTAGTTAGTGGTTTTAGTGCAGAAGAGCCAGACTGGATTTCATTCACTTTTCAGACAGCAGAGCAACTTGGCTGTGGGCTCCTCATGCTGGCACACAATAGAGCAGTGAAATTGGCTCAATGAGATGTCCAACATCAGTCTTCAGAATTGAAACTACATTATCCGCACCTTTGGGTATCTTCCATCTTTGTCCAAACTACATCTGGAAGCTCCTAGAGCATTTGCAGTTCCAAAACTGTGAGCCAAAGGTGCTTTGAAGAGAGTATGTATTGTGGATTTGTTTTTATTCTCTTCTCCCCCCTGCCAAGCTTTTCATCTTTTCATGTCAAGTAACACACATTGGTATTCAGGCATGATGTAAACAGCACAAGATCTTCTGCATGCCTTCCTGTGTTGTACTCAATCTGTCATTCCATAAGCTGGCAGAACCAAGCAGCAAGAACACTCCTGCTCAGCGTGTGCCTTCAGATGCCATGGGGAGATGACAGCGGCCAGCTGATCCCCAAGTAGTTGCACAAACGGCAGCTTAGAAACAAGCGTTGTTGGGAGTCCAGCAAGCTGAATGGAAATGACTGGGGAAGGCTGAATAATATGGTGTATGAAGCTAAGAGCATAACAGCAGCTGTTCCCAGGTCAAAGCAAAGGTTCATCTACTCCAGGATCCTGTTTCTGACTAGCTAACGGTCGCCTAAGGACAAATTAAATGCTAGAGTGTGCAGTGATACTTTTCCCCATCTCCTGCAAGTTATAGTTTTGAGCAAGAAGGGGTAGTTTTGTGTAGCCCCTGCCCAAAAGCTGTGCGTATTTCCCACGGTATCAATATTCTCAATAGTCCTCAAAAGATTTCTTTTTTTCATTTTTACATGGAATATCAGGTCACTTTTTGAACGGGTGGAACTCTTTTGTGTCCGAGGGATCCTGCTGCAGAAGGGCACAGTTGAGTTACGCACCACGTTAGTTAAGCACAGCACCTTCTCTTGCTTGTTTTAACCTGTTACCTCTTAGCTTTTTTTGATGCTCCCTAGGTCTTGTATCAGAAGAGGCAATGAAAAACTGTTTGACTCTTGCTGTGTGTGTCATTTACGACTGTATAGGCTACTGTCATATCTCCCATCAGTTCTGTCTTCCAGGCTGGAAGAGTCCTGGTCTGTTGTTTCTTTTATGGAAGTGGTACCAGCCTTTTGAATGTCTTTGTTATCTGTTTCTGAGCCTTTTCCAGTTCTTCTCTCCATTTCAGAAAAGGATATAGGAGGTCCAGAAGTGCACAAAGCATTCAAGATGTAGGCACATTGTGAGTTCATACACTATCATAATGGGATCCTCTGTTTAGTTCTTTTTGCCTTTCCTAATGATTTCTAAGATTCAGCTTGCTTCAGATCACTACTGAGTAGAGCTATCTGTTTTAACCCAGAAGTCTCTCGGCAGTGCAGAGCACAGCCCAACATTTGTATATAAAGCAAGTGAAACATCAACAGAAGAGAAGTCAAAAGCAAAGAGACATAATAGCTGCACCTTCACTAGATAGGGCTTATCGTGCTGGTTCTGTTCTAAAACTCTGCAGGAAAGCTGCTCTGTGTTGAGCTTGGCTGGGGCCAGAATTCATTCCTTTGTTGGCAGTTTTTTTTCCAAACAATCTGCTTTCCACTGCCTTTAACAGAATGAGTTTCCCTATTTCATTCTCCTTGAACATCTAGGACATGATTGCTTCTGATGCCTTTGTGTTAGTTTCTATGTGCGTGTTCTAGAACAGCTGTTAAATAAGTCTATTTTCCTCCCCTAACTGGTTCTCATATCTTTGCTAGGCAAAATGGTGACATCAAATTTTTGACAAAGGGAGATAATAACGCTGTTGATGACAGAGGGCTGTACAAACAAGGGCAGCACTGGCTGGAGAAAAAGGATGTAGTAGGAAGAGCAAGAGGGTAAGTGAAGTTGAGAAGGATACAGCTTATTACAGTGCACTCCCCCAACGCTATCTGTTAATGCCCTCTCCTGTTGAACTCTCCCTGCTGGGTTTTATGTGAAATGGGCAAAAGCATTTCAAAAGGTATCGTGGAGAGTTAAAAAAAAAAAAAAAAGAAAAGAAAAAAAAAAGTAATTCAGTTCTGAGTTTAGCTTAAGTCTTTGCTTACTAAGCTGTGAGCTGCATTCTGAGATTTTGATACTGAATGAACACCAATGCAAAGGCAGTGCCCACTCAAGACATTAAGGTGTGATCACAATTTTCATCAAAACTCTTTTGCAAATCACAGTCTTTCCAGGCAAGCAAGGTCTGAATATCTAATGTGGAATCCTTTGTGTGCACAATCAGGTGCTGAAATGGTGCATGTTCTCATCAGAGTTAACAAGAACTTAAGAGCCTGCTTGCTAAATAATTCTTTCCTTCCTCTCACAGGAGGAAACTACCACCCATTTTTAATCTCCAGTGCTTGGGCTTTTTTTTTTTTTTTTTTTTAAAGTTGTCCTTTGCCCTGAGGACCTTTCTTCAATTAGATGAAAGAGCTCCACTATCCACGATGCTGACAAAACCCAATCTTCCTAATAATTGCACTAAAAAGTTATAAAAATCTCACCATTAAGCTTTTTTGATACCCCAAATCATGGATAGGCACATAACTTTAATTAAACATCAAGAGCATTTGGATTAAAATAATTGAAAGTAGATAGCTTGACTCTGTTGTGGGGCTGTTTATATTTTGGTCTTTGCTAGAGTGGTTGCTGGGAACCCTACAAGCTAAACTGTTTCTGTGCAGAATCCATCTACCCCAAGGCAGCTCCCCTGTGCTTCTTTTATCTTGAATCAATTCTTTGCAAACCTGACACTGATACCCCTTTCCTCCTCTTCAGATAACAAGCTCGTGCCACACCAATGTTTTATTTTCAACGTTTGCTCCTAGAAACTTGCTGGCACCTGGATGTGGGTTTACCGTGCTAAAAGGAGCTGGGGAAAGTAGGATGAGCAGTCAGTGACAAGCTGCAGGTGGTGACTCTCTAAGCTGGTTGAATTCCTTTGCAGCACACCATATGTAACAAGGAGTAATTTGAATGCCTGTACCTTGTTTGATCCAAAAGAACAGCTTAGGAGAAAGTCCCTTCTCGCCTTTCAGATCTCTGCTCCATTTACAGTGGCCTTAAAGAAAAGCCAGCCTGTTTGAAGATACAAGCAAGGGAGCATTGGGTGAAACGGGTAATGTTTTTCTAGCACTACCTAATTAGGTCTGATTACTCCAAGATGCCATTGAGCCCTTGAGTGCCAAGAATCTAAAAAAGATTGATGCTGACATAGGAAAGAATGGCTAGTTATGTCAATAGAGAGGTAAAGGACTCAAAGCTAGGCAGGGAGGAAAGCAGCCTGCTTCAGAGCCCCTGCCAAAGAAGGCGTAGGTGAAAACACGCACTGGGGATAGGATACCACTCAGCCCCCACTCCCATGTCTTCCCTGCTTGGGAGGGAGAAGTCCTAACCAAGTTGACCATAGTGCTTGGCTAGACAAAGCACGCTTAAATGGCACTTCCTTTGTACAGTCTCAGGGCAGTGCTTGTCCATATTCACCCTTGAATACTGTTTGTTTTAATAAAACTTTTTTCCTTGTAGATTTGTGCCCTATATTGGAATAGTGACTATCTTAATGAATGACTATCCAAAATTTAAGGTAAGAGCTCGTTCATCTTCTTCCTTCGCCCTCCCCAGCTAAAATTACTTTATGAGAACGTTCTGTACGTACCGCCTGAACTGTGTGCCCTGTACGTTTGTTGCTGTTACTGCATCTTTAGATGTGAATGCACACTCTTGACTCTCTTACTTTCTTTTACAGTATGCGGTCCTCTTTTTACTGGGTTTATTTGTGCTGGTCCATCGAGAGTAGCCCATTGCACTGAAGTTGGTAGTGAAGATACCATGTTTTTTGTAGATGAACGTTTGAAGTAGATGATGGTCTGATGTGTGGGGAGGAAGAGGAAAACATACATTTCAAAGCTTCTAACCAGTTTGGGTTTGTTTTGTTTTTTACTGCGTAAGGACGAATGTTATCACAGTATTTCCAATGGTTTGTCACATTTTAGCATTTTTGTACATCAGTGAGTTTTTATATTAAAAGTTTAAGCCAAACTGTTCAGTGTTTGTACTTTGAAGCTGAGCTTCCTCTCAGAGTACCTACAGGACTGTGTCCTCTGAGTCTGTGCCTCCACTGGGCAAGCGTGACCTCTCCCTGTGCCATCTGAACTGTCAAAGGATTATCTGTGGAGGTGGTATTTTTTCCAGTTCAGAACTGGAATAAAGATTTTGCCTTTCGCCCAGTATGAGCCCTGCCACATTCTTCCTTATTCCCCTGCTGAATGCAACTTCTTACTACCCAGCTTCTCTGGGGTGTACGTGGACTTTGCCTTGCGGACTGACTTTTAGAGCCTAGTGAATTAACTTGTCTCCTCTTTACAGAACGGTAGTAGCTACTGCTTTTGCTTCTTGTTGGAGAATAAGCGATCCTTAGCTGTAGTTCAGTTCAATATTTGTATGTTTCTGTAAATCATACCGAAGTAACATGCTTAAGGACCCCAAGGTGTTTTGGGCAGAAGATGGCAAAGGATTACCTTGGGCATTGCTGAAAGGCAGTGGCTGCCTTAAGCATTTGGTGCGGCGCTAGGTAACAGAAGAATTTGGATGGGAAATATCCACAGCTTTTGGGCAGAGGATCTTTAGAGAAGTAGGATGTGAAAGTCAAATATTCTTCGGTGTTGGAAATGGGATTTGGGCCCCTAGTGACCCTCACAGTTGGCCATGTCTTACAGCTCACCTGAAAGCTACACTGCCCTGAGATCTGAAAGGAGAAACCCCTTGTCACCACCTGCAACAGCTTTTTTTCTGAGTTTCTCAGTCTGGGAGCAGTCACTGCAGCTTAGTGCCGTTGCTGCCTCCTGCTAAGGCTGCCTGACTCTCTCTCGTGCAGTTGACTCACGCATTTTTTTTTGCCAGGAAGGCTTGCTACTGGCAGCTGGAGCCCATCTCCTCCATGTCTGTTCTTTCCCCAGATTAGCAGTAAGATCAGGTCTTCTTGATCTTGCAGAACCTATGGACAAGTGCAACACTACTGATTGTTACTTTAGATGCAGTTCACTGCATCTTTGTTCCCTGTTCGTGACTGTTCCAAGACTGCACATCAAAAAGGATCGTCAGAGATGTTTAGTGCCGCCATGCATACAGGTTATGTAGGGTAAAAGCAGTCAGGAACAGCAAGGACAAAGCCCAGTGCGGTGTTAATGGTGTACTTACATAGTTTCTTGCCTGTGCATCTTGTGTTTTGCTTCGGGCTTGCTCTGTCTATGGAGGTAGACTGTGCTATTAGTTGTGTCCACAGGGACCACAGCTTGCTCAGCTGACAGCTCTGCTGCTTTATTTAATGCTCAGTGGCTGTGCTGACCACTGGCATCCCAACGTGGATACAGCCAGTTGGTCTAAACCACGTGGTTTGTTCCCTGGGTAGGATGAAGCGAAATTTCATGGTGTGTTTAGCATACTGCAAAGAGCGTGCATGCAGGTCCTGCCTCTAGCACTGAGCCTTGGACCTGTCTCTCTGAGTAATAATAAATCAGTATTAAAAAACAGTAATAAAAATCTCTATCTGCTTCTCCCAATGCTGGATCCCTTGAGAACAGAATTTGGAGACAAAGTTTCTCCAGAATACTTGAGTGATAGATGGGGTGTTTTGTCAAAAGCCAAACCTGAGCAGCAATGAGGGAACACAAAATACCTTCTCGAGGGCTGCTGTGGCCATGGAATCCCTTCTTGAGGACTTTGAGCAACGTTTCTGCGCTTACAGATAGGACTGAGGCTGAGTCTCTGTTCCCCGAGTTTGCACCAACTCTGCTTTGCCTCTAGCTTGAACTGTTTTTGTGCATAAGCAGTTTTATTAACTTGGAATCATATAAAGGACTGAGTTGAGCTCTTCTGAAACCTGCTAATCAACACCTCTCAATGAAAAGTTGCTGAAAGTGCTGCTGTTGCTGTTCTCCGAGTCCTCTCACTTTCACACCTTTTTCAAAAATGTGAGCACAGAGAAGCAGCTGTTAAATTAACTCAGTGACAGTAACACAAAAGCTAAAGTACAAAGGCTTTATGATTGCAGGGGATGCAAGGATTAGCTCTTTAAAGTGCACCTTCTGAACTCCAGCTCTAAGAGAAGAGAAGTGGTCATTTTACATTTTTGGAAATAACGATGCATCTGTCCTGCCGTTGGCATGATCACCCTGCTGGTGTTGCTGGTTGCTGGCAGCAGGTGTCAGCAGTCAAAGTAGCTGAGCACACGCTCAGCACAACTGTGGGTACAAGCCTGTCCCACAGCCACTAATCCCAACATTGCTGGGGGACACGTTCAGGCTAAGTCTTAATCTCTGCTTTCACCACGGTGTGAGCGCCTGCTGGAATAGGACTATGAGCCAGAGGGGTCAAAGCAAAACAGAATGACCAAGTTAACCTGGAAATCTATAAACCTCATCTTCCCAGGAGAACAATGCTGTTTGGGGGGTGGGCAGGGGCATTTGCAGGCAGGTGTAGCTTTCTCAGCTTTGCTCTTCCAGGATTGTATGGGAAGTAGTTGAGCACCGCATTTGGCAAGAAGATTTTAAAAAATGCAGAAGGGTTGGGGTAAAGGATGGGATAAAGCCTGCTACAGCCCAGCCTCGATGTGTTTTGGGGTTTGGTCTTTTGGTTTGGAGACACTTTAAGAACAGAACCGATTGCTCTAAATCAGAGATGTTCAGGGGCCAGGGGCTGTGCGTCAAATCAGGTAGGCCATCTCTATGGCCTGCATCCTGTCTCTTTTCATCTCAGAGTAGTTGAGAACAACGTGGTTCTGTGTTATCTGCAGTTGCAAAATGAAGTGTTGCCTCTAATTAGAGTGAGGATAAATAAGCAGTTAATCCGCTCACAGCTCAAACACCCACTGACTCCTGCACTGCCTCCCCCATCATCTCCTGCATCAATGTAACGCCTTTTCTGCCACAGTAGGAAGGGAGGGTGCAGCCTGCACAAACTGAAAACTCAGAATGTGGGGGCAGGATGACAAAGAGGAGTTGCTGGCTCTGTCCGTGTCTCTACCTTCTGCTTTGCTGAGCAGAAAAGCTATAGAGCATGCAGGATCTCTGGTTCAGCTGGGTGCTAATGCTGAAATGTTTGGCAAGTGCTGCTGCGCTCTTGCAGAGCCAGGGGTTTTGCTGTTAGAACATGTTGTGGTCTTTGGTTTTATTTCATTTTTGGTTTTGGTTTTGTTTTTTTTTAAAAAAAAGGTGAAGACTCTCTGTAAGCTGTCTGGCCATCTCCAGCCAAGCTTCTGAGACTTAAGGTTCACAGGATGGCTTAGGAAAGACAGAGACCTTTGTGTCACAACAGGAACGGGATTTGTTTGTAAAGTATGTAGGTATTAAAAGGTCTGTTTTATAAAGGCAAAGAAAGAAAAAAATCTGTCAGGTTTAAGATTACCTCTGTCTCTGTTGTGGTTACAGCCAAACAGAGCAGGTTTTCTGGTAGGCAATTTCATTGCCTAATTACAGTTCAATCACATCCGCAGTTCAAGGCACAGTTCTGCTAAGCACAGATTCCTTCATGGGAAGGAACTGTTTCAAAAAGCAAGGTAATGTTAGGATATTACTGATCGTTTTTGACTTTTTTTTGCTTTCTGTGGACTTCCTTTTCATATCAAAGATAAATGCATAAACAAAAGCATGATGGATGGGAGGTCAGCTGTGAGGAGTAATGAATAAGCTGTGCCGAAAAATTGAAACTCCTTGAGACAAAGGCTGTCTTCATTTGTGTGTTAATGATGCTTGAATGCACGGTTGTCAGTTAAACAGTAATAAGCACTACATTGTTTCATCCGGATCTGCTGCTGCATATTGCTTAGCAGGGGTTTCTAGGGTTGGAATGTGTAAGATGATCGGTTGCATGCTTTCTTTAATAAGACCGGGTAATTCTCACTCTGCGCTTCCATCGTTTGAATTTCTGAGTCCGTAAACCTCACAAGGGTTTTCCCGCTGTTAAAGTCTGAACAGGTCTGCCATATTTTTTCAAAGGAGAGCCTGTAAGGTGAAATCTTATCCATAGGTGGTTTATACAAAAGTTTGGAAGACCGCTTCCTGCTGGAGAAGTGCATGAATGCAAGTCCTGTGTACGGACCCTGACTGTATAGGAGAAGTGGCTGAGCTGAGATGCCAAGAGAAGGAAAGGAGAGGTAGCTCAGGCAGAGCCTGTCCCTTGGAGATGGCTGTGCTGTAGCAGGGGAAATACAAACCACATCCCTCATGCTTATGGATCACAGGCTGAAGACCCACACAGTGACTCAGTGGCTGAATCAGATAAGGAGTGTCCTGGTTCCAGTCCTCAAACTGCGAGGTACACTTGGGTAATACCAGAAATGCAAAGCCTTCACAATTCCCATTGATGTCAGCAACTCCTGGCAGTAATGAGGCATAGTAGATGATGGATCAGGCAGTATTAGCTCTGGCAGCTGGGAAAAGAGAAATAGGTGATTCTCAGCACCTCCAATGAGATGTGGTTTGAGCCAGTTTAATAGTTTTCTGCCTCTTTTGCCTTTTCACGGAATGACAGAATCACAGAATAATGGAAGAGACCTCTGCAGATCATCTAGTCTACCCTCCTGCTCAAAGCAGGGTCAGGGGTTGCTCTGGGCAGGTTGCTCAGGGAATTATCCATTTGGGTTGTGAATATCTTCAAAGGTGAAGACTCCACAACTTCTCTGGGCAACCTGTTCCAATGTTTAACCACCCTCACTGTAATAAAGTTTTTCTTACATTTAAGTGGAACTTCTTGTGTGTCAATCTGTGCCTGTTGCCTCTTGTCCTTTCACTGGACAATAAGCTAGAAGAGTCTAGCTCCATTTTTCCTTCCCTTGCAATACTTCCATCCCATAGCAGCCTCTGCACCCAGCCAGCTCAACTTGCTCACCCCTCCAAAAACACCAGGTCTCTGCAGAAATAGTTCACCAAGCAGTCTGATGAGTGCTAAAGTTAATATATGGGAAGGGGTAAGGTGGCTCTCCTGGTGAATATATCTTGTTGAATCTACTTAGCCATAATCAGGAAGTTTCAACACTGGTTGGTGGTCTGCCCATCCATTCATGAGGAGCTGCTCTTCAGAGTAGCACCTTTTCTCCTGCTGTGAGCTTGTCTCTGCTCACCTATCAATTTCAATAACAGACACCAGCCTCCTTCATGCATAGCCCTGCTTCCCTGCAGAGCAGGTCAGGCCTGCATGCTGGGTCCTACTGGTGAGCACATCATGAATGA